AACCAGCTCGCTGTGCTGGGACGTCCCTCCGGTCCTTGGGCACCACCCGGTGCCAGGCCCGCGCAGCCGGGCCGGAGGGAGGCATGCCTGCTGCGTGTTTCTGTAAAATACCGGGAAGATGCGAGGAAGGGCCGGGGTGCAGACATCACGTTTCATTTTACGTGACCATTTACTCTGATGCTGAGTAAGATGGAACTTGTCACTATAGCAACTGCTGCCTCCCACAGAGCCCTCCTGCCTGCCAGTCACAGAAGGTATTGCACAGAGACCTCAGCCACGTGGCGCGGTCCTCACTCAGTGTCTCCCAACGAAGTCACGTTCGCGGCGTGGCGAGGCAGTTCATCACAGCCAGTGTATTTGGTGTGATTTTCTTCACTTTTGAGAAACAGGAAAACAGAGTGACACCCTCCAGCAAAGGTCAGAAGCGACCCAGGGTCTCAGTGACCCTGGCCTGCCTTCCCCACGGGAGACGTCAGTGGGTGAGCATAGAACCTTCCAGGGTGGCGGCTGTAAATATTTTAACACAGCTCCATGCAGATTTGCCTCTTAAAGCACAGGAACCAGCTTCCCTTAGGTGCACGTTTTGCATTTAGGAGAAACAGGTTCAGTTTTGTCCGTCAAGAAATGCAGGTTGGAGTACAATAAAGGTGACTGTGCAAGGAGGGGAAGTGGGTCTGGCCAGACTGCAGAGTCCACAGTGCAAAGCCCACGGCATGAAGCCCACGTGTGAAGCCCACGGCATGGAGCCCACAGTGCAAAGCCCACGGCATGGAGCCCACGGTGGGAAGCCCACAGCATGGAGCCCACGTGTGAAGCCCACGGCATGGAGCCCACGGTGCGGAGGGAGGGGCTAGGACAGAGCAGCCGGCTCTTCTGCCTCCGGAGCTGGCAGAGGCCCCCAGGTCCCTGGATGGGCCCTGGGTGGGGTGCCACCAGCGTCTTGAACTGGGGGCCACCTGGGGTGCATCCAATGTGCCTGTTTCTGGGAAGCTGTCCCATGGTTTCCTGGGCATCAGGGGTCTGTGCCTGCTGGTGTCCTGGGCTGCCGTGGGAGCACCCAGGGGTGGCACAGAGGGTCCTGGGTGTGACCAGGGAGGTGCCCATCCCGCAGCTCCTTCTCCACAGGTTTCCCAGGCGCTTGTGGACACGTCCCATGGCGTCACCTTGACTCATTCCATCTCCCTCCACCTTCTGGCCCAGAGCTGCCCTCCGCCGCTGTCCACTCTCCATCCACACCCAGCTCTTCCTCCTCAGCTCCCGGATGGGCCGCGGGTCTAAGGTCCAGGGATCTTTGGTCACTTACACATCTGCCCGGGCCCAGCTCGGTGCCCTTCAGGCCTTAAATCAGTGACGGCTGAGGTGACTGCGGGTGTTCTCTCAGGGACAGGGCAGTTCAGGGGAGCCAGGAGCTGGCTCCGCCCACTGGGCCGGGGCTCCCACCCAGGGCGGGGTTCCTCTCACATCCTCAATGTGTCAGCCTGAATATGTGCTGATGTACTTCGGTTGCACGATTTTTATTAAAAGTGGCATTAAAGATAAATGACAGCGCACGCGCCTATTGCCCCCGTCACGGGCACGAGCCCTGGGGGGGCTGTGGGCAGTGTTCACAGCACACCCCCGCGCTCACAGCCTCCTGCGAGTCTATAAGGATTTCAAAGTGAAAAGGTAAAGAATATGCTCAAGAAAATGTTGGAAAAGGAGAGAACTTGCTTTGGCCTCGCCCCTCCCCCAGGACCGGCCTCTGGTCTGGGCGTGGTGACTGAGCGTCATCGCTGTGGACAGTTTCCGTGGCTGCCTTTGCCTTCATGGTTCTCAGACGTCTTTCTTTATAGTTTATTGTTTTATTGATTTTAGAGAGGGGAAGGGAGAGAGAGAAACATCCATGTGGGAGAGAAACATTGCACACACCTGACAGGGGACTGAACCTGCCACCTGGAATGTGCCCTGGCCAGGGCCTCATCCGACTTTTAACAGAATCATTGAATTCCGTTTATTTGGCTAATACAATGTGATTAGTTACCTTACTACGCTTTTACATTTAGATCAGTTTGGGCTTTTCCCAAAGCTGCGTTTTTCCCATTCTCTTGCCTGGTGAACCTTGAGATAAACTTCTGGGAGTGTGACATTGAGCGGGAGGGCGAGATGTGTTTTTAAAGCTATGGAGGTCGCCGCCAGCCGCTGGTTAAAAGTGGATCTTCATTACAGAAATCCCAACTGGCCCCATGGAAGCCCCGGGGGCTCGGGCAGGTCGCCGGCCACCAGCACCGTCTGTGCCGGGTTTCCTGTCCCAGCCAACTTCGCCAGAGCCCCGATCAGGTGGGCCATCGCTGCCCACACTCCCTGCGCACCAACCGGGCCCACGCCTGCATGAAACCCATTCTTGTCGGCAAAGCGCTAAATACCGGATTCCGGTTTTGACAGCAGCCATTTACACTCTCGGCATCTCCCCACAGACAGGAGAGGACCACGTGGGGCCCGGCGGGAAACGGAACTGTGTCCAGGCATCCACTAGGATCCGCCCCGCCCCCTCGTCCCCATGGTGCCCATGGCACGGAGCCACACTGTCCACCGCCACGCACATCGCATGACAAATTCACACAGACCTGAGGGTAGCGTGTGAGCACAGATCGGACATTTTAGGGCAGCGGTTCTCAACCTGTGGGTCACGACCCTTTCACAGAGGTCTCCTAAGACCATTGGAAAACACATATAATTACATATTGTTTTTGTGATTAATCACTATGCTTTAATTATGTTCAATTTGTAACAATGACATTGGGGGTCACCACAACAAAGGGTCGCGGCCTTAGGAAGGTGGAGAACCACTGCTCGAGCCCCTGAGAAGCAGGAGAGCTCCTTTCCAGCCAGAAGAGGCCCTCCCGGTTCAGCTGCCAGATGGGTTCCTCTCTACCCACTGCCAGTCCTGCCCTTCCCCGGCAGGGCCAGCCTCACATCCAGACACACTCCTAGCCTGCCCTGGACACCAGGAATATCCGTGCTGCGGAAACAGCCCTTCCGTGGGCACCAGCGGTCCTGGGGCCCCATCCCTCCCACCTCCTCTGACGGGTTCTGTCAGGGTTCTGTCAGTCCCCGCGTGCGTCCTGCGCTGTCACAGGAGCACAAGCCGCAGGCGCCGTGCTTGCTCGAGAGCCGCTCCTGCACGCCTGCTCCCCGTCAGGCGGAGCTGCTGGTTGTGAAAACGGCCAGTTACACAGGCTCTCGTGTGGGAGCAGGACTTGTGGCTGCGGGGAGATTTCCCCCAAGAAAGCCGCGGGTCTCAGCCATCAGCAGGAGCCCTCATGGCAGCTGCCCGATGGTCAATTGTCCAAGACAGCGAGGCCATGAAATCTAGTTTCTACGGCGACAGCAAAGGCCGGTCTGGTCCACGCGGACTCAGAGTGGCCACACCCCTTCTAAGAGGGAGCAGTGCTGTTCTGCCTGCAGTTAGTTCAGCTGCCTGGAGACCAGGACGCGCCCCGCAGGCCTCAGGAGGCGAGCGCTGTCAGCTGCACTTGCTGACCGAGTGTCAGGTCAAGTCCTCCTTCCGATACCAACGGAGCCGCGCCTGGCCGGAGCTGCCGGGACTCACATCCTATTGTGGAAGCGCCCGGCCCTATAGCGCCTCCCCACAGACACGTCCCCAAACAGCTGAGATACAGTACCCCCGAGCCCCGAGGGAAGGGCAACTCCCGGCCCACTCATGTGCACACATTTAACAATGAACGAAACGAGGAAGTATGTGTGTTCTGACGGTTTCACTGTTTTCCTTACTCACGACTGCTTCCTCAAAGGCCACCAAAAACAGTCACATTAGCCGGCACCGGCACCAGCATCTCAACCATCGGACGGCTAACCTGGCCTCAGCCAGTCAGCCGCCCCAGCCACACGACGTTACGGGACCACCACACTGGCTGCGACGCAGGCCTCCACGCCGACAGCACGCCGCGCACCGACGCGTCTCAGGGCAGCCCTCCGCCACTCACCGACCCCACTCCGGCTTGAAGAATCCTCAGTCCCGACGATCTTTCCAGTTTGTCCTTGTTGCTGACTGTTGGGAAGAAGAAGAAGCACAGGGTTAGCTCGGGGCCTGTCCTCTGCTGGACACTGCGTGCCCTCCCTGCACTACCCCCGTCCCAGCGCCACGCTGGGCACAAGCCACAAGAGGGAGACCTGAGGACCGGCGCCCCCCTGCCCCTCCAGGCAGAAGGTGCTGTCCCAGGAGACCCACAGACCTGCTGGGAGAAACGACGGGATGTGGCTGCCAACAGCAAGGTCTTATTTTAGAACAAAATGACAGTCCTCATGACATGCTCACTGGGAACAAGGCCCGATGACCGGCCCTCCTGGGGGCGGCGGGCGCTTCCCTCTCCTCTCGTAATTCAGCTTTGGCAGATCCTCCCTAGTTTGCCTCTGACACAGGACGAGGAGGGCTTTCTGAGAACGAGGCCCCCACATCGGCAAGAGGATGGTGAGTTCTGCAGCAGTGAGTCTGGGCCCAGAAACCAGGTGCCCAGGCTTATACCATGACCCAGCACCCAGCTCACACCATGACCCAGCACCTGGCTCACACCATGACCCAGCACCTGGCTCACCCTGCAGACCCAGCACCTGGCTCACCCTGCAGACCCAGCACCCGGCTCACACCATGACCCAGCACCTGGCTCACCCTGCAGACCCAGCACCTGGCTCACACCATGACCCAGCACCTGGCTCAGCCCGCACACCCAGCACCCGGCTCACACCATGACCCAGCACCTGGCTCAGCCCGCACACCCAGCACCCGGCTCACCCTGCACACCTAGCACCTGGCTCATCCTTCAGACTCAGCACCTGGCTCACCCCGCAGACCCAGCACCCGGCTCACCCTTCTGACCACCGTGTGCCTGTGCACCAGCTGTGCCCACTGACCACTGTGTCCCTGTGCACCAGCTGTGCCCTCTGACCACCATGTGCCTGTGCGCTGTGCCCTCTGACCACCGTGTACCTGTGCACCAGCTGTGCCCTCTAACCACTGTGTCCCTGTGCACCAGCTGTGCCCTCTGACCACTGTGTCCCTGTGCACCAGCTGTGCCCTCTGACCACCATGTACCTGTGCCCTGTGCCCTCTGACCACCATGTGCCTGTGCGCTGTGCCCTCTGACCGCCATGTGCCTGTGCACCAGCTGTGCCCTCTGACCACCGTGGACCTGTGCACCAGCTGTGCCCTCTGCCCACCGTGTCCCTGTGCACTGTGCCCTCTGACCACTGTGCCCCTGTGCACCAGCTGTGCCCTCTGCCCACCGTGTCCCTGTGCACTGTGCCCTCTGACCACTGTGCCCCTGTGCACCAGCTGTGCCCTCTGCCCACCGTGTCCCTGTGCACTGTGCCCTCTGACCACTGTGCCCCTGTGCACCAGCTGTGCCCTCTGCCCACCGTGTCCCTGTGCACTGTGCCCTCTGACCACTGTGCCCCTGTGCACCAGCTGTGCCCTCTGCCCACCGTGTCCCTGTGCACTGTGCCCTCTGACCACTGTGCCCCTGTGCACCAGCTGTGCCCTCTGCCCACCGTGTCCCTGTGCACTGTGCCCTCTGACCACTGTGCCCCTGTGCACCAGCTGTGCCCTCTGACCACCGTGGACCTGTGCACCAGCTGTGCCCTCTGACCACCATGTCACTGTGCACTGTGCCCTCTGACCACCGTGTCCCTGAGTGCCGTGCCCTCTGACCATCAAAGGGAGGTGATGGCAGACGGAAGCCTCCATGCAGAGCCACCCCATCTGGAGGAGCCCCGTTTGAAGAGGCCACCTTAGCTCCTACAACAACCCAGCAACACAAGTAACCAAGGCCCACTCTGTTGAGATACAGCAAAGTCGTGTTGGTAGAAAAAACCAAATGTGCATTTGCTTGCTTGTGTATAAAACACCATTCAATTCAATATGTATCGTGCTCCTGGGAGGATGTCCCTGGCCAACTCACGATGAATCAATCTCTCTCTCTCTCTCCCTCTCTCTCTCTCTCTCTCTCTCTCTCTCTCTCATTTTTAAATCCTCACCTGAGGACCTGTCTTTATTAATTTCAGAGGGAGAGAGGGAGAGTGAGAGAGAACCATCAATGTGAAAGGAGCATCAACCGGTTGCCTCCTGTACGCGCCCCACCCGGGGAGCAACCCCACACCCTTCTTGGTGCACAGGAGGTGCTCCCGCCAGCTAAGCCACCCAGCCAAGGCCACCATGACTTCCTCTTGATAGTTAGAGAATTTTTTTTGTTAATTTGTAATTCAAATATATAATTTATACTTGCATTTAATGAAATATTAGATACCGAGGAGGACTTATAAAATATGTGTTGGTTACAAAGAATAAGACAACAAATGCCCTTGATACCCACACTCTGAAAAAGAAATGAAACATAATTACATTTGTACTTCATCTCAATTAATTCAATAATAAAAAAGCAATTACATTCGATACCCTACCCGTGGTAGGCAAACTGCGGCTCGCGAGCCACATGTGACTCTTTGACCCCTTGAGTGTGGCTCTTCCTAAGCCTTAGGAGTACCCTAATTAAGTTAATAACAATGTACCTACCTATATAGTTTAAGTTTAAAAAATTTGGCTCTCAAAAGAAATTTCAATCGTTGTACTGTTGATATTTGGCTCTGTTGACTAATGAGTTTGCTGACCACTACAAGCCCTGTGGCCCCACTCACTCCCCCCTGAATTCTGGGTAGATCGGTTCTTTTTCTGGACTTTCTCACCCATGTCTGTTGCTTATTTTGAACTTAAGCATGTTCCTCTCTGACTGGCTTCCCCCCCCCCGACCTGTGTCTGGGGCTCCTTTGTTCGGAATGTCCCTGTAGGTCTCGTGTCCACGCCGAGTGGCTATTACATGATCCGTCTCTCCAGCCAGCTGTCCGGCTCAGTGGACACCGGGCTATTTCTCCTTTTCCTGCCCGTCCAGGGACTGCCGTCTCAGGCACACACAGGAGGTTTCCTCCCGTGGAGTCCCTTGGACACAGAGTCCCAAAGTGATGGCATCAGTGACACTCCTACCATCAGCTTGTAAGAGTTTCTTTAAAAAAGTGATGCATTTAATTATTTTAATGGAATGTATTGGGGTGACACTGGCTAAGAAAATTACATGGGTTTCAGGTGCACGTTTCAGAACACATCACCTGACATTATATTGTGATATCGCCACCCCAAGTGAAGTCCGGGTCCATCACCATTTATCCCCCTGGACCCTCCACCCCTCCTGTCACCCTCCGCAGGTAAGCACTCCTGTTGTCCATGTCCGCCCCAGGCAAGCACTCCTGTTGTCCATGTCCGTCCCAGGCAAGCGCACCTGTTGTCCATGTCGGCCCCAGGCAAGCACTCCTGTTGTCCATGTCCCTGAGTTTCTCTAAGAGTTTCTATCACCCAGAGCCTCACTTTGTCAGACTCAATCACCTTTGCCAACTTGGTAGATGCAGCATTGTATCTCCCGGGGCTTCCACTGCCTCCTTTCCATTGCTAACCAGGCGAGCACCCCTGTTCACCTCGGCTTCCTCTCACAGGAGTTTTCCTCTGCTCTGCCCACGCAAGCGCACCTGTTGTCCATGTCCGCCCCAGGCAAGCGCACCTGTTGTCCATGTCCACCTCAGGCAAGCGCACCTGTTGTCCATGTCCGTCCCAGGCAAGCACTCCTGTTGTCCATGTCCGCCCCAGGCAAGCACATCTGTTGTCCATGTCCCTGAGTTTCTCTAAGAGTTTCTATCACCCAGAGCCTCACTTTGTCAGACTCAATCACCTTTGCCAACTTGGTAGATGCAGCATTGTATCTCCCGGGGCTTCCACTGCCTCCTTTCCATTGCTAACCAGGCGAGCACCCCTGTTCACCTCGGCTTCCTCTCACAGGAGTTTTCCTCTGCTCTGCCCACTTTTCTGCTGGGCTGGCTCTTCCTGTTGCTTTAAACACCCCCCCACGAACACTGTCGGCATACGGGCTACCAAGACCTCATCACAGTTTGTGGTTTGGCTTTTTAAAATTCCAATAAGGTCTAAGTCATCATTTTGCATAAGGTTTGCGCTCTGGGTGTGCATCAGAGATCCCCGGGCTGGGTCCAGCTGCCGCAACTAAGTGGGTGTCACAAAAAGGGAGTCCCAGGTGTTTCCGTCTCCCGGTGCGTATAAAAGCTATGTTTACACTCTATGTATTCTGTTAAGTGTGCGACAGCATCGTGTCGGAAAAAACAGTGACCATGCTTTAATGAAAAATACTTTATTGCTGAAAAGTGCAGACATTCCCGGGCCTCCATCGAATGGCACTCTTTTTGCTGGAGGAGGGTCCGATCGCGTGGTGGCTGCGGACGATCAGGGTGGCGGCTGCTGAGGTATTTTTATTCAACTCTTCTTTTTAAGTCCTCGTTTTTGAAAGACCTTTTCTCTCAGTATAATTCTAGGTGTGTGTGAGGGGCGCAGTGGAGTCTGCCTTTCGCGGGGGCTTGCTCGCAGCGGCGATGCTGTTGGCTAGCATCTCCCCGCAGCAGCGCCCCTGGCCGCTCAGGCCCCCACGCCCTGCTGCGTGCCCCTGAGCCTCGCAGGCTCAGTCCTTGTTTCCCGTCTGCACCTTGTCTTCGCCAGGAGCGGATCCCACCTCAGGAAACCCCTTTCTCCGCTCGTCCACAAGAAGCAAGCCCTCATCCGAGAAGGTTCCACCCCGTCTTCCGGCCCCACTTCCAAGCCTCGTCCAGCTGCCGCCCCGCCGCATTGCGGTGGCTGCCTCCACGGAGCGCACCCCTCGTGCATCGCGGGCCGGACCCACCTCCACAGTGGCTGCTCCCTTTGCTCACTGTTCCTTCTGCATCTCACATCTTCCTTCCGGGCTTCTTAGGGGCTTCTTTTCTTTTGTGTGTAGGAAATCTTTTTGAATTAACTTAAATGAGGATCTATTGGTGACCAGCTCATTTTTTTTGAAAGTATCTTTATTTTTTTTTATTTTTTTAAATTAAATCTTTATTGTTCAGATTATTACATTTGTTCCTCTTTTTCCCCCCATAACTCCCCTCCTCCCAGTTCCCACCCTACCCTCC